TACAAGTCATGAACAAATCTTAAATATGGCAGGGAATGTGTTTACTTTTTTAGTTTTGATTTTGAGCAGCAAATTTGGAGTTACATGTTGGTGCTCACCAGGAATGCATAGGCAAAATTGCACAAATTTTCACTTGAAAGAATAGTGGCGATCTTGGGATTTTTTTCTGTTCAATTTTCAAACTGTGTAAATTTAATACACTTCATCTTCAGCATGTTTAGTGCCACTTTTGTAAGTAACCACGCCCCCGTCCAGGCCACGCCCCCGCCCAGGCCACGCCCCTTCCGCTTTTTTCATCACTAGCCATTGCCATGTATGTATGCTGAAATTTCTTGTTACCGGAAACACACTATCTTTTTTGTTCGGCCTAATCAATTATCTCACAAATAACAACTGTTTTAATAGAGTAATTGTTTAGAGTACATGTTGCATGTTTTCTTGAGAGGGAAGAAATTTCATCTCTGCTGTATGTTGCAAATACAGCACATTTGACAAAGTTGTACTTGACTTGACTTGAGGGCCACTATCCTGTACGTTTCACATGTTTCCCTCCTCCAACACAACCGATTCAAATGATCAGCTCATCATTTAGTTTTGCAGACGTCTGGTAATGGTACTGATCATTTGAATTATTTGACCACTGTAGTAGTCAAGGGCCATTGTTGAACTTAAAGTTGTCCAAATCCTCTGATTCCAACCTCAAATTACACAAATTATTCTCTGATTTCCTTCATGAAAACAGACTGAATATATATGTATGTATGTATGTATGTTATATTATATTCTTATATATTTTGGTGGTAGCTGAATTCGTTTAAAAAATATTGGTGAATACAACAACAATCTCTTGTGTGACGTTGGTTAATTCACTAAAATTTACCAAATAAATCATATTCATGTTGAAATGGTTTTGTAATACACTTGAATGCAAATAACATTTTTTCCAAGTAGTCAGTTAATCGATGGAATAAACTTTTCTAAAATGTCTCAGCCGTAGTTATGTTACAAGACGACACATTGCTTTTTAAGAGGTTCCACAATTATTCGTGTCTCTGTGATGAGTCGTGTAAGTGATTTGTAATTCATGAGCTGTGCCCGAGGATCTTCCTACACAACTTCACTGTGTACAATAACTTTATCGACTACATTAGCATGCACACGTTATTAACTGTGATCAATGAATTAAGTGCAAATGTTTTTAGATGTGATTCAGATGGAGAATATTTATGATTGAAAATACACTCATTTAATAATGGTGCATCTTGTCCCTTCTGTTTTATAGTAATACACAAATGTGAAATCTGGCTTTCTTGATGTGTTAAGGTGCAGCAGGAAAGCCCGGCCAAGAAGGCCTGTCTCCACTGTGATGTGGACAACAACCTGATCACCTCAACTCCAGACACAAACACTGCCCTTAGAATTGGCAAAAAAGGCTCTGTCAACGGATGTGAGTGTCACAAAGAAAAGTTGTATTGTACTCTTTCATTTTTTTCCACTACAACTAATTGTACTTCATTAAATGTTGTCCGAATCATACTCAATGCTTTGCAGTGGTGACCAATCATGACAGGAGTAAGGAGAAGCCCAACGGCAACCTGGGGGAGACGACGACTGCAGAAGTGCCCACAAGCCCTCCCAGGACAACGCTTCTTGGAACAATCTTCTCTCCTGTTTTCAACTTCTTCTCACCCGCTAAAAATGGTATGCCTTTACAGGTTTGGCACTGGGAACCCTTTTAGCCAGTGTGGCTAAACTGTACATAATAATCCATCCATCCATTTTCCGATCCGCTTATCCTCACAAGGGTCATGGGGTGTGCTGGAGCCTATCCCAGCCGTCTTCGGGCAGTAGGCGGGGGACACCCTGAACCGGTTGCCAGCCAATCGCAGGGCACACAGAGATGAACAACCATCCGCACTCACACCTAGGGAGAATTTAGAGTATTCAATCAGCCTGCCATGCATGTTTTTGGAATGTAGGAGGAAACCGGAGTACCCGGAGAAAACCCACGCAGGCCCAGGGAGAACATGCAAACTCCACACAGGGAGGCCAGAGCTGGAATTGAACCCGGTACCTCTGCACTGTGAGGTCAATGCGCTAACCACTGGTCCACCGGGCCGCCCTGTACATAATAATCTCCTCGCCAAATTTGAGTGTAGTTGGCCACCACATCACTTGTTTATGTGGCCGCGTTGCCACCTGTCTCGCTGCTGTCTTGCGAAGTGAGCCGCTCATGTGTGCACATGGCAGAGACATTGGAGCCCAAATACCACAAAACACCGAACAGTTCAGGGAAGATGTGGGGCTTCAGCGGTAGAAATGGAGTGGCCCAAGTTATCAATAAGGAAGTGGCAATTGCTGCGAATTGCCACAGATGAAATCAGGGCAATTAGCACAGACGGGCGACTCATGCCATTCCGTAGTCGCATCGCCCATCCCGTTTTAGCCCCGCCCCAGAAAAATCGGGACATCTGAGAGGGCGAGAAGAGTTTGATGCTATATCTCAACAATTCGGTACTACCGGTACTTTGTAAAATGATCTGTCTTTGCACGTTTTCAGCACTTGCCCTCCAACATATTTAATGTATTAAACCAAACAAACAAATGATTTTACAGAATCTTTAATGTTGAAATGTCAAAACATTTCAATGTAATAATTCCATTAGTACATTTTTATTTTACTACTTTCAAGCACAGCGTTAATGTTTCAGTGGCTTACAATGATAAATCCAAGTGTATTTTAGAATATCATTTTTAAGAACCCTTGGGCCCAATATGTTATTGTATTACATCGTCGGTCCCAGTGGTGGTAGTTGCAGAGGGACATTTTTTGGGTGATATTTGCTGCAAAAAGTTGCAGAACCAACTGCCATAGGAGGATTGATGGTCGTTGTATTAATTATACTATCATGACTGATTGTGATAAAACAATATGTAGGGTTTTTCCTGGCTCAAATTGAGGCAGAGGTGGTACCATCTTGACCATGCGCCATGACGTGCATGTATTCTATAAACTGACTCACTTTCTTTTTCAGGAAACATACTGTACTTTAAGTTCAGACTTCCAATAAGAATCTGACTATTATTAGAATTCGTTTATTAAAATGTGCATTAGAGAATGATGGACTCATAGGTTGTGTTGGGGGGGCCACCTTGGTTTGAGAGACAGATTCTTCTGAAGCAGCCTTCAAGCGCTCTGTGGTCCACGTCCACCTGTGCTGCAATAGCACGCTGCAGTATTCTCTGTAAAAAAATAAATATTTCTTAAACTATCTATGTGAACTACATTATTTTAGTTATTGTAACTTTATTGAGTGAATGCTTTTAAGTACAACCATCTTTAATATACTGCTTTGTGAATGGCTGTCACCTCAGGTCTTTTTAATGTGTCCAGCCTGTAGTTGGTTGAGGGAGGTAGCGATTGCCTGCTGTGTTAGGCACATTGCTTTTGGCATAAATAACAGTGCATGCCTTTCTCAGTATGCCTGAGCCAGGTAAATTGATTTAGCCACTGCTTGTCAGAGCTACTTGCTCGTGTGTTTTTAAGACTAAATGGAAAAAGGACTAAAAAATATTTAGATCATGTACACGTTGACTTTGCGTTGTGCTCCGAATTGGAAACGGATTTATGTAGCCTCGCTGACTCGTCCTGTGCTGCATTCCTGCTATCACCAGTGTTTCAGATTAAATTTCCACCAAATTCACCACCATGAATTATTACATTTTAACTGCCTGTTGTGTTAATTTCTCTGCACTGTTTTCACCTGGGCTCGTTTTTTTAAAAAAAGGCTGATTTTCCCTGCCATATCTGCAACGCTAAAAATCGTAAACCTTATTTTGACACAAAGGAAATGTACTTTAATGCAAAAAAAAAAAAAAAAACTGGCAATATTTACCTGTTTGTAACATTTGCCAGGAAAATCATAACGCCGATGGCACCAACTAGCGTGGGGGAAAACACGGTTCGATCTGTTTTTTTCTTGGGTAGTTGCTTCAGGTCTTCCCTGTGCACTGCTGTTGAGATAGAGCCTCCATAGTAGCGCAACGCTGCAGTTAAAATACAAAGCCGCTGCAGAGGGACATCATTCGCTCAATCAGCACAGCGATCTCAATTTTACTCTGGCTGGGGGCGGCTGACACGCAGTTATGAACACAGGAAAAAATCCCGATATGTCTGTACACAGGCAGTTATGAAGCGATTGTTTCACGTGGCTTTCAATCATCAATCGTCCATCCATCAAGCTCGTGTCTTTCTAATCTGTCGATCTATAAATATGTACATTATGAATAATACCTCCAAACAAATTCAAATCCAATGAAATTGGGACATTGTGTTAAAGATAAAAAACAGAATACAATGACCCTGTGTAACATTTCATATGGCAATACTAATGTCTCATCCCAAGTCTGTTCATTAAAATGCTTTCCCTCCATCTGCGCAGCCTCATCTGGATCGGACTCGCCAGACCAGGCATTGGAAGCTGAGGAAATAGTCAAGCAGCTGGAAATTGAACAAACAGTGGAAACGCCCACCAACATAGCCACATCTACACAGGAACAATGTACCAACACTAACTTCTACTCAAGTGTATCCCAGCTGCCACCTTTGCGACCTCCGCACATCTCTGCTGGATACCACACAGCAGAGTTGGGAGAGACTGATACTGACCTTCCACCCCTCACTGGTAGGTCACATCGCAATGTAAAGCGCATATAAATCAGCATGTATTGTATTTATGAATACAATTCATCATTAGTGTTCATATTACGAAGAGCGATCCAGAGTTATTCAATGTATGTTTTTGTGTGCTAATACCTCCTTTACAAATAATTAATTCATGACTTTCGCTCTGGTCTCAGCTCCAGGCTCCAGTCCAAGTATGGCATACATGAACACTCCTCCTGCTGCAGTACCACCAGAAACATCCTATGAAGAAGACTGGGAGGTCTTTGACCCGTGAGTGAAAGTCATAGTCCTCAACATGTGTTCATGGAGCTCCAGCAGTCTCTGAACAGGCTGTCGATACAAATCATCAGGTTTAAATTTGGTTCAGTTTCTGCAATAACAGTGCAGTGTATCAGGGAGCAGTTTATAGTGTTATCGATTGATTTAAAAAAAATAATAATAATATTTCATCATGTCTGCTGTGTGATTAATCATCATTAATGACACATTTCCCTTGGGCTTAATAAAGTCGCTCTTAAGATAAAATCTATCAATCGAAATGTGACAAGTGACTTAAACATTGTTTGAAGATATGGTATTATATATTAATATATCGTGTTAGAATGAAGAAAAACTTACGAGTTTACAGCTTCTATTGTTGAGTTAAAATAAGTGCTTGAACTGATTAACGTGCCTCAAAGACTGTCAATGTTTGGCATTCCGCACAATTAACTGCCAACTTAAGGAGCAGACAAGCACAAAGAGGGACAATAGCTAGTGCTTCAAAGCAAATGCTTTCACTCCACATAACTTAATTGAGTGGAGCCACCGGTTATCACCGATCAGGTCTGCCGTTACCCTGAGATATTTTTTGCGGCTTACCGATGTCCAGTGGTCTTCTGTCAGTGTAACAAGCTTAGCGTTGGCCAGCTGCTCCACCCTCGTTGCCTTTCATTTCCGTAAAGTTTGTGAGTTGTTGTGACAACAGTTGCCCTTGAAGGTGATCTATATGATGGGGCGCCTGTGGCTCTTTGTATGAGATTTTGAGGCCCCTCGTCTGCGACTGTGTTGACGGCTCTGCAGTCTCCATCAACCTATGTAGTGCTTATTCAACCTACGTGTTGTCCTTATGTTGTCTAGTCAGAGTCCAGACTCTGGCAATGTAGCGAGATGACTGCTGCTTGTTTCCACTGTGTTTCTAGCGTCTTTGCTAATGTTTGCCAAAATATTCTTTGCCCGAAGTTGGTACTTGAGGCTGGCTGTGCTTCGATGGAACAAAAATTTATCACAGCACAATGTACAGCCAACTTTGGTTTTATTCAGACTTCCATTAGGCAGCTTTTTAAAACGGAGTTTACCATGAAGCAAATCCAGTTTACACTCTGCGCTATATTTTCAAGTGCACATCACACCAGAACCAGACAGAGTTAAGGTGTGGTGGGACAGACGGTGATGGGGATGGTCAATTGCCCTTCAATAAGGGCACCTTGACATTAGCCAAGAAGCCCACTTGCCCCCCAAAAAAGTAAATTTGCTGTCTTCCAGCATATTTTTTACATCCAGGGCTCCATAGTAAAGCACTGTGGCCCCAAACCTGAAAATTTTGGAGGCCCACACTGTCAACTGACTTGCCAAGTAAATATTCACACCCACTCATTTTCACTGCATTACTGATAAATGGACTCAAGAGTGGAACAAACATTTTTCATCAACAAAAAAATGGAAGAATATACGTCATCATAAATGCATTGTAAATGTAGATATAACACGTCTTCAATTTCCATTTGACTTGCATAGGTTGTATTATTGCAAAGTTGCCTCCATCTGGCGATCAGTGAGACTAAACTAGTTGAAGTAGTTCTTCTGATCAACTGAACTGAGTTTCATGTCTTTGTCTTTAGGTATTTCTTCATCAAGCATGTCCCTCCATTAACAGAAGAGCAGCTCACTCGGAAACCAGCCCTTCCATTGAAGACTCGTAGCACACCTGAATTCTCTCTGGTCCTTGATCTGGTCAGTGACAGTTAATTAGTCTACAATGTATTGATGTAGTTTTAAAAAAAAATCCATTAAAAATAAATGTATATTTGATATCTTCAAGGATGAAACACTGGTTCATTGCAGTTTAAATGAGCTGGAGGATGCCGCCCTTACCTTCCCTGTACTCTTTCAAGATGTCATCTACCAGGTACTTGATGGCCTGTCAAGGCGGGATTAATTCACATTTGGAAACAGTTTAGATAGCCTGCTTATTTGTCACTTACGTAAGATATTGTCAGCTTCTTAAAACAATGGCCAAAGTCATATTTTTTGCCTTAGAAATGTCTTGATGTCAGCCACCTCTGCTAAAGTCAGCTAGATGCTCTGTTAAACAAATTTCACTTTAAAGTTTGTTTATATTTTGGGAAAAAAGGCGAAGAAAAAAAAGACATGAACCATTATTTTAGGAAGGTGACGATATGTAGGCCTATACTGTACTCCCAAAACAAACCAAGTATCTTTATTGCAGATGAATTCTGACCTACCTAAGATTTAAGGTGTTGTTGTGCATGTGATGGTTTGAATTATTTCTTGTCATTTGCAGGTGTATGTACGCTTGAGACCGTTTTTTAGAGAGTTTTTGGAACGCATGTCTCAAATCTATGAGGTAAATATAGCCTGGCTATTATTTCTTATTTCAGTCTGACATGATTGGATTTGATACAATGGTATGTCACCCCCACCCCCAACCT